AAAAGAATATATTTAAGCACAAACTATATGCAATTTTATTTTATTTACAATTAAATGGAATTAGTTGAGCTTTTTTTTTTACAATTTAATTGGATATTTCGCCCAAAAATGAAAATTCTGTCATCTACTCACCCTCAATTTGTTCCAAACTAGTATGAGCTCCTTTTTTCTGTTGAGCACAAAATAAGACATTTTGAAGAATCTTAAAAACCAAACAGTTGATGGTAGCCATTGACTTCCATAGTATGGAACGAAATACTATGGAAGTCTAGGCTACTGACAACTGTTTGGATAACATTATTCTTCAAAATATCTGATGATGACAATATGAAGACATTTTTGTGTGAAATATCCCTTTAAGTAGATCGTAAGTACATCATTATATGTAATTTCATAAATACTTCTGTTTTGTAATGGTTAAACTGTATTGTTGAATGTACTGACAAGCATTTATGGTAAACTAAAATGTACATTAATGCCATTTGATGCACAAATGCACATTCAATAATATTATGCACACTTTTTTTCACAAGGGAAACCTTTGTAAAATTAGTCTCCTATAAAGTTTTTGCAGATTTCATATGGTTATGAATCATCTGCTGTGAATCATCACAAGTATATTTTTGTTGATGAGGCCGGTTTCAATCTGGCAAAAACCAGACGCCGTGGACATAACCTTATTGGCCAAAGGGCAACCATCCAAGTGCCTGGACAACATGGGGGAAACATCTCAATGTGTGCAGCTATATCTGAAGATGGTGTGGTAGGCTATAGACCAGTTCTAGGATCATACAACACTGAACACCTGATAGCTTTTCTAAATGAGCTTGAGCAGGCCTGTCAGGGTGAAGATGTCATCTATGTTATGGTGTGGGACAATGTCAGTTTCCACCATGCAGAGCTGGTTCGGGAATGGTTTCAGGCACATCCTCGGTTCATGACCCTCTTCCTTCCCCCATGCTCTCCTTTCCTCAACCCAATTGAGGAATTCTTCTCTACATGGAGGTGGAAGGTGTATGATCGCCATCCCCATGAGCATGTCACCCTTCTTCAAGCCATGGATGAAGCTTGTGGTGATATAACTGCAGAGCAATGTCAAGCCTGGATTCGTCATGCCAGAAGGTTTTTCCCGCGGTGCCTGAACAATGAAGACATTCACTGTGATGTTGATGAAAATGTACGGCCAAATGTTGAAGACCGGCTTGATAATTAATGTGAATTTCAGGTCTACATTTACAGGTTGTGGTTGTTGTTGTTGTTTGGGTTTTTTTCACATGCAATCACAGTATTGTTGTAAACTAAAATTTAAATAAAATACTTATTTTTTTGCTTGGGTATGTAAATGACTTTTGATGTGTTCTTTGATCACATTTTCATGTTGTATAAAGGTGTGTGTGTTTTTGTTTTTTTATAGCTTTTGTCAGTTTGTCTGAACGTAAGTGTAATATTTGCTGTGATGGCTGTGTATACAGATTTACAGTACAGTAACATTCATTTAACACCGAGGGTGATTTGAAACCTGTACCTTGTATTGTTTGCTACTGCATGAACTGATTGTTAAAAGTACTAAGTTGAAAAAAGATCTTACTGTTGTGTTTTGGTGATTAAACCAAATGTTCTCAATACATATCACACTGATCTTGTGTTCTGAAACAATGATTATGTGGAATGAAAATATGTGCAACTACAATGAAATCATGAGATCAGGTTTTGAAAGAATGACTAGTGGTATTACAAGTGTCATCAGTTTAAAGTTTTGTACTAAGAGTTTTGAAAATGTACACTGTAGCGTCTGGACCAATCAAACACACAATATATATTTTGTTTTTATATTTAACAAATACTCTTGCAGCTTATTTGGCGATTGCATTTTTCTGAAAAATAATTGAATAAATAATCCTTAATAAAAGAATCACTAATGGAACAGTTAAAACACTGGAATCATTCAATTTTTTTATGATTCCCCGCCCTTCTCAGACTAAATGATAATTGCAGTGTAATGTACCCATAAAAAAGC